CCGCAGGCCTCGTAATGCAGTTCCATTACCACGCACATTTTTTTTATCCGGTTGGGATCTGCGCGGCACCGGGATTTGAACCACGGACCTTTTTCATGCGAGGCGAATGCTCTAACCACTAAGCCATCGCTGCTTCTTAAAAAAATAGCGGAGGACTTTGAAACGAAAATAGCAGAGGAGTTAAAATAGCGGAGGAGTTTTACAGAGATCTGTACAGTAGCTGGGACAACCACGACTTTAATACTATAGGAACTAGCAGTAACCCAGATGACAGCCCACCAGTAATGATAGAGGAAGTCAGAAAAGCTTTGGAGAGCATGCAAAGAGGTAAAGCTGCTGGTGAGGATCAGGTAACATAGGATCTGCTAAAAGATGGAGGACAGATTGTGTTAGAAAAACTAGCCACCCTGTTTACGAGGTGTCTCCTGACGGGAAGAGTACCAGAGTCTTGGAATAACGCTAACATCATCTTAATACATAAGAAAGGAGATGACAAGGACTTGAAGAATTACAGGCCGATTAGCTTGCTCTCTGTAGTATACAAGCTATTTACAAAAGTAATTGCTAACAGAGTAAAGAAAACATTAGAATTCATTCAACCAAAGGAACAAGCAGGATGTCGAACAGGCTACTCAACAATCGAACACATTCATACTATCAATCAGGTAATAGAGAAATGATCAGAATATAACCAACCATTATACATTGCCTTCATAGATTATGAGAAGGCGTTTTATTCAATAGAAATATCAACCGTCATGCAGGCACTGCGGAATCAGGGCGTCGATGAAGTATTTTTAAACATTCTGGAAGAAATCTACAGGGGACAACTGCTACTATAGTGCTTCATAAAGAACGCAACAGAATACCAATCAAGAAGGGTGTAAGACAGGGGGACACAATCTCCCCAATGCTATTTACCGCGTACTTACAGAAGGGTTTCAGAAGCTTAGAACGAGAACAGTTAGGGATAAGAGTTCATGGAGAGTACCTTAGTAACCTGCGCTTCGCCGATGACATTGCATTGCTGAGTAACTCAGGGGACGAATTGCAACTCATGATTACGGAGTTAGACAAGGAGAGCAGAAAGGTAAGTCTCAAAATGAATCTGCAGAAAACGAAAGTAATGTTCAACAACCTCGAAAAGGAGCAGCGCTTCGAGATAGGTAATAGTGCACTTCAATTTGTAAAAGAATATGTCTACTTAGGGCAGGTAATAACCGCGGAGCCGAACCACGAGATTGAAGTAACTAGAAGAATAAGAATGGCGTGGAGCACATTTGGCAAGCACTCTCAATTATGACAGGTAAATTGCCACTATCCCTTAAGAGTAAGGTATATAACAGCTGTATCTTGCCGTTACTTAGCTACGGAGCAGAAACCTGGAGACTTACAAAGAGGGTTCAGCTTAAATTGAGGACGACGCAGCGAGCAATGGAAAGAAAAATGGTAGGTGTAACCTCATAAGACAAGGAGAGAGCAGAGTGGATTAGGGAACAAACGGGGGTTAAGGATATCATAGCTGAAATCAGGAAGAAGAAATGGACATGGGCCGGGCATGTAGCGCGTAGACAGGATAACCGCTGGTCGTTAAGGGTAACTAACTGAATTCCCAGAGAAGGGAAGCGGGTTAGGGGGAGACAGAAGGTTAGGTGGGCAGATGAGATTAAGAAGTTTGCGGGTATAAATTGGCAGCAGCAAGCACAGGACCGGGTTAACTGGCGGAACATGGGAGAGGCCTTTGTCTTGCAGTGGACGTAGTCAGGCTGATGATGATGATGATGACTCTTTAGGTCCATCGATGAAAAGTAACGAGCAAGTCGATATCTGTCGAGAGAGTCATCTATACGAGGAAGTGGATACACTTCTCGCTTTGTCACCTGATTGAGTTTTCGGTAATCTACACCGAAGCGCAGGCTGCCATCTTTTTTTAACGAGGACTGCAGGTGACGCCCAGGGGCTTTTTGAGGGCTGAATGACGTCGTCTTTTAGCATTTTGTCGACTTGCTCTTGTATCACTTCGCGTTCCTTTGCAGACATGCGATAGGGGTTTAGGTGAATTGGTCTCGCCATGTCCTCGGTAATTATTCGATGCTTGGTTAGATGCGTGCGGCCAACTCTTAATGTTGTCGAAAAGCAGTCTTTGAATTCGTCCAGTAGCTCAAGAAGGCTCTTTCGCTCGTTCTTAAGCAAAGTAGTGCTAACGTCAAGAACTGGTGTCGAATCAAGTTTTGGCGCCTCGTCGACTACTGCCAAGCAGCCTTCTGCGTCGGTGATATCGTCGAAGTAAGCGACGGCCATGCCTTTTGGAAGGTGCCGGCGCTCATCCCTAAAATTTGTCAGAAGCAAGTCCGTGCGTCCAGCGGCGACACTGACGATACCTCTTGGGACGGAAATGCTGTGTGTTAAGAGGAGCGAGGTTATTCGGTCTGCTACTCCTTCGCCGTCAAACTGGACAGCGGCTGCCACAGAAACAAGCGTGCATGAGTGAGGAGGGAGAACCACATCGTCATCAGTTAGACGCAATTGGTTTGGTCGCGCCTGTGTACAATCAGGTGCGCCCGAACTGTTGCGGAATGTAATCAAACTGTCTGGGATATTGATGACGGCGCCGTACTCTCGTAAGAAGTCCATACCAATAATTAAATCCTTGCAACATGCGGCGAGAACGACGAACGACGCAACAAAAGAAGAACCTCCTATGTCAATTCTCGCTGTGCATCTTTCAGAGGGCATCAATAACTGACCACCTGCCGACCTTAATTGAGGGCCTGTCCACGGTGTCTTCACTTTCTTGAGGCGGATGGCAAGGTCCTGACTGATGATAAAAAAGTCGGCACCAGTGTCGACTAAGGCTGTTACTTTCTGGCCGGCAAAAAAAAAACACTCAGGTCAGCGGTAACAATGTCGTCGCTCTCACGTCCTGTCGGATTTACAGCGTCGTGTAATGGGGGCTTTTTGTCGTCATCTTCATGGCCTGCAACCTTACCCCCGGAGGTCGCCGCCCTCAGTTTCCCTGTCGCGGGCTAGGTGACCTTCTTGCGTTAAGGTCCGCGGAGGTACGTCGGTGTGACGAAGGTAAATGAGCGGGAGAAGGAGAGCGGGATTGACGTCCCAAACCTGGCTGGCGGGTAGGAATTGCCTCCTCGTCAGAAGTACGATATTCGTAAAAGTGAGAACGGGCTCCATGGAATGAGGCGTCCTCCCGGCGTGGTATGTATTCTTCGTTCGCACGTCGATCGTCAGACCATGTTCGAAGAGGGCGGAACGAATCACTGCGGTGCCAGCAATGACGGGCAATATGACCTGCACCTCCGCAGTTAAAGCACAGTGGACGTCGATCGATTGTGCGCCATGCGTCAGTTCTTCGGAGCGGTGGACGTCTGAGCCTGCTTTCTTGCGACGATGTCCTTGGTGCTGCTGTGGACGCCTGGTGGTACGTGAGTTAGCTTGGCAGTCGGCTCAGGATCTGCTCTTGCCGTGGTGACCAAGGGGCCGTCGGCACTGGGTGATATGGCGGCGATGTACCAGATGGTGAACGTCGCAGAGCATCGGCATAGCTCATGGGACGGTGCTCGTCACCAGGACCAGTGGTAGAAAATGCGTGGCGGATTTCGTCGCGTACCAGTTCAGCGACGGACGCAAGGGGGGTTTGAGCAACTGGATTCCGGAACTTTTGCAGTTCTTCGCAACTATCTCCCTAATGAGGTCTCGCAGGGAGCTTTGATCCTGAGGTATGGCGGCAGCATTGATTGGGGCGCTGCTAGACATTCGATGATACTGCCTGCATCGTTGATGGAGCGCCCGCTCGATAGCCGTAGCCTCCTTGATGAAGTCAACTACGGTACTTGGAGGGTGGCGCAGTAGCCCGGCGAAAAGTTGCTCCTTAACACCGCGCATGAGGTAGCTCAACTTGCTATCTTCACTCATGTTCGGGTCAGCTCGACGAAAAAGACGAGTCATATCTTCAGCAAACATAGTAACGCTTTCATTGGGTTTTTGAACCCGTAGCTCTAACAGCTGCTGCGCACGGTCGCGTCGATCGACATTGGTGAGCGTATCGACAAGCTGTCGTCGGAAGTAACCCCAAGTTAACAGACTGGCTTCTCTGTTCTCATACCAAATTTTCGCACCGCCGTCAAGGTAGAAATAGGCGCGTGAGAGCTTTTCTCGTTCAGGCCACAGATTAATCTTGGCGACACGCTCGTAGTGCTCAAGCCAGTCGTTCACGTCTTCATGGGCACCGCCACTAAAGTGATAGGGAACCAGCGGTTGAAAGATGGTAACCTGTGAAGGCTGTGTTGGCGAGGGGCCTTGGGGCGCCGGTTGCGGACTGGCGTTGGCCATTTGGAGAGGTAATCGGCACTTGCGTGGTTCCGTGGAAGGCGTGAACTCTGAAGCGAGGCCTATCAGCCACCGACTGATCCGGTGCACGGGAGTTGCAATGGGTGACAATGCGTCCGAGCTAGATGAACGGCTCCCACTGGGAGTATGGAGCACTAGGTAGGGTTGCGTCCCAGCACCCCCACCAGTGTCGCGGTACAGCGCGAACCAAAGGCAGATAAACGTTGACACAGCGACTCTCAGCAGCCGAATAGCAAGATCGCCTTCTTTGTCTTCAATCAGCCAGAGCTCCACTACCTGGTGTCCGCCAAATCCCCTTATCGTCGTTTTGGTCCACCAGTACACACGCGTCAATATGTACACCACACACTGCCAGGTAGCACAATTTCAGGCCCTGGTACTGCCTGCCACGGTAAACTGACCTATGTTTATTGATCAAGTGATTGCGCCCACAAAGTGCCATGTTTACATGGTTTTTTGGCTACAAGTGATGTCAGAGCCATAAAGATATTTTATAAATTATCAGTAGCGCGACATACGAAAATATTATTACCCCAAGCAGCTAATCTAGCAGTGTGCAAGACATTCATTCTAAACTTTTTTTTGCACGAATTGCAGGTAAAGAAGTGTATATGATCGAGTTTAGTTGTACTTACATTTCCTGCTTATCCTCGTAACATTCCAGTGATCGTAGAGCTCCACTCGCCGTGTTTTCTATGTACTTGGATTTTAAGCATGCACAAAGGTTGCGAATATTATAAGGCAAGGTATTTTTTACAATCCAAAGGGCGTAAATGGTTTGCTTTGTTTGGACAAACTGCGGAGGAACACACAAAAAAAAACACTGGTAAGGATGCGCTCAAAAAATTCTCAGGGATTTTGCCGGTCATTGCAGTAAGCTGAGTGAAATGAAGCTCGTCATTGCCACTGTTTTTCAAGAGCGATGGTTTCATTGTTTTGCAAGATAATTGAGGTTATATTGCTGCGACAGTCACAGAACTATACCACGCATGTATTTGTTGAAGATCATTTATAAAGACATACAGTCGCACAAAGAAGTACTCATTTCACCTTTCTATTACCGACCTTACGAGGTTTTCAAAAGGCAGTCTTGTTTTGTTATTCAGAAAATCCTACCACAACAACGCTCGTGTTTTCAGAGATGGAGCTAAAGTTTTATTTTACTGAAGAAGGGGGGGTGGAAGAATCTGCGGTTTGTGTTTTGACTGCTTGCCCTCAGCAGAAAAAGCACAGGAGAGAGAGCTCACAGGCAAACGTTTTGGGAAATGTGGCCCCTGCCCTCTTCTCCCTATTATTTACGTCATGTCTGTTTCGTTACAAAGATGACATATTTGACCGCATGCGAGATTGAGCACCCCATTTATACAACATCGTACAGCATCACGCTCTCATAATCGTCATCATCAAAAGCCCGACTACGGCCACTGTAGGGCAAAAGCCTCTTGCATGGTCCACCAATAAACCCGGTCTTGTGATTTTCGTTAACGCCTTATACCTGCGAACTTTTTAATATCACCGACCCAGATAACTTTCTGTCTCCACTTCAAGCGTTTATCTTCTCTGCGAATCTAGTCCTTAAGGACCAGCGGTTATTCCGCCTACGTGCTACCTTTTGAGGTATAGTGGCAATCTTCCAGTCATGATTTCGGTATGCTCGCTGCATTTGCTACACCCAATTCTTATTCTTCTAGTTACTTCAATCTTGTGGTTCAGCTGTTCGGTTACTACCTGTACGATGTAGACGTATTCTTTTACAACATCAAATGCGCTTCTACTTATTTTGAAGCACTGTTCTCTTCCTATATTGTACACTACTTTTGTGTTCTGCAGCTTAATTTTAGGACCTACCTTTGTCCTCTCCTTGTCTTATTTACGTATAATGCATAGCAAGTCGTCCCTTAAGTTACTCAGCAGTGCGATGTCATCGGCGAAGCACAGGTTAGTAGGGTACTCTTCATTACCTAGTGCCCCTAACTCTTCCCATCCTAAGCCTCTCAAAAGCTTCTGTAAGCACGCGGTATATAGGCATACGGAAATCGTATCCCCTTGTCTTACACCCTTTTTTATTGGTATTCTGTCACTTTCTTTTTGTGCAACACTATGGTGGCAGTTGATCCTCTGTAGATATCTTGCAGGATGTTTTAGGACGCTCTGATATGGACAAAAGGACGAGCCGCCGTCCCGAAAGCAAAGTTCATCGTCATCCTTCACTTCACTTCACTTCACTTCACTTTATTTCCTTAAAGACCCCCGAGGGGGTATTACATAAGGGGTGGGTTAACAAATAAAGTTCTGTTATTTTTTTATTGACACGGGTTTTCATTGCGAAAGACGTGCAGACAGTTGGTCGAAAATGTCGATGGACAGGAAATGGCCACGTCGTCGTGGGGAAGATCATTCCAGTCGTTTGCAGTCCGTACAAAAAAGGACATAGAAAAAGTGGTCGTTCTAATGCGTGGACGGGCAACTTGAAGTCGATGTCTAGTGCGGTGAGATATGCGGGCTGGTGGAACAATGTAGGGATGACGGAATGGGCTGTGAAAAATTTTCTGAAACAGGCAGAGGCTGGAAATGCGACGGCGAACGTCAAGGTTTAAAAGAGCAGATTCTTTTTTGAGGGATGATACACTAATATTATGCGAATACGAAGAATGAATGAACCTAGTAGCACGGTTTTTAACTGCCTCAAGTGAGTCGATGATATATGCTTGGTGTGGGTTCCAGATTGCCGAGGCATATTCCAATTTATAGCGAATAAGGGATTTGTAGGCCTGTAACTTGACGTCCTGCGGGGCGTGCCGAAGGTGACGTTTCAGAAAACCTAGGGATTTGTTTGCAGATGATATAATGTTGGTAACATGCATATCCTCTTTACTGAAACACCATTGTCATCATGGTCCTAATAACGATACTCAATTGTCTTTTTCACACAAGACATCCTCCACGCCTCCACTGTGAGACCTCGTGATAAACAATATCACAGTTGCTAAAAGCACTAAACGCACAATGTTCGTCACTATTAGTTCAGTTCGAAGTCAATCCACGTGGAACAATCCGGGTTGTCTTTTGCGCCTCGTGTTCCAGCGGTGCTTCCGACGCTTTTTCCACGCTCGTATTTGTGAACGCATTACACATGATGGCTTTGGGATGTCAATGGTCAGTTTCCGTTCGCAAGAACAACAATGATGCCGACTATTCCACGATCTTATTCTGTAGCTCATTTTGAAAAGTTGTTTTATGTTCCTTTTCCTGGTTTCGTTTACCTCAGAAGCACCTCACCTGCCTCCCTGTGTTGGTTTGGTATCTCTCATTCATGGCTGTGACGCTGTTAGGATATTATTCGCTGAAGTAGGATGTGCTATCTGCACTGCTCTCAACCTTGACATCATCATTTTTCTAGAAGAGTAAAACCTATCAGCAGTACAAAGTGTTTGCTTCAGTTTTCCCGTGGTCTTCCTTGTATTTACTTGCACTTTATAAGGTGGTTTTGATTTTGTTTCATCGGGCAATCGTACGCATGCCAGTGAGGATGTTATAACATCTGAGTCTGTCAACGTTGGCTGCTTGCACGCACGCTTGAACATCCTCGTAGGTGGATATTTGGATATGGAAAGCCTTCCCCATTATCAATAATGGGAATGCCTTCCACCTCGAACACTAGAGTTGCTGTAGACGCCTTTCCGATAGTTTCATGACTACTGAACGCTGGCGACAGTTCTGAAGGCGTGGAACGGATCTTTATAAGCATCGGTGGTTCTGTGTGGGCTCCTTTGATGGTCGTTACTGCCGTCAAGGTGCTAATCGGTTGACTTTCAACACGCTCAATAAGATGTCCAGAGGTTGAATTTGTGGTGTGGCATCTGTGCTGCTAGATTTTTGTCCAATAGGTTTGGTTTGGTCTGGTTTGGTTTGGTTTTTAAGGTGCATAGGCAACTTAGGCAATCATGCACCAATATGCAATAAGCTTCGGCTGGATGTTAGAGACGCAGACACAGAGAGTGCCTTTTTTGTGCTTCCATTTTATTCTGTTGTCTTATTGTCTACACACCAGCCTGTCGTGCCTTTGATGCGTAGGTAATCTTATAATCAATTCTGTCTGTCCCTGGAATGATCTGGCGCTCATAAACCTTCCCCTCCTTCATCTCAGGTTCTAAATTAATGATGTCAACTGCATCCTTTACTTCTTTGTCGTTTCTGTTTAGCTCATCGTACAGGTACATCAAAATCTGGTGAATACTCAGAAACGTACACATTGGTGGGCGATAAAATTGCCGAAGATGTTCGATGTCTGCGATGACTTGCGTGACATCCTCGCGTGCTTGAATCCATCTTTCGCAGAGGGCCTCCATGATCCTGTTCAGTTTCACAAACGTAAGAAGTCACCGGCCGTCCGTTTCATGAGGCGAAGGAGGAGTCAAACGGCCACCGTCACAGAAGGTTCACGCAACAAATATTCATCAGTTGTCGCGCTGTCATTCTTCATGATCTTGCGAATATCAACCGTTGTCGTGAAGGGCAAGTCAACACGGAGCCGAACTTGACGTGAGAGCTCCAGTCTCGCGAGCCTCCAGACGATGCCTGCACTCACGGGACCGCACTGTAACGATGTACGTCGTTGACCTCAATGAACTTCCTTGACTTGCGAATATGCGCTGTCGTCATGAAAGGCGAGCCAGAAAGGAGCCGCACTAGACTTGAGGGCTCCCGTCTCTCGAACCTACAGACGATGCCTACCCTCACGTGAGTTCAGGGGTGCTCTCAGTGGTCTTAGTTTCAGCCGGAGTCATGCTCCCGGGTTTCGCTGGTAGTTACGCCTCGTTCACAAGCTTGACGTAACGGCAGTTTCACAAAATCGTCCAGGCTGCAGGTGTGCTCGAGAAGTCGTGAAATCCGCTGCGTCTCACCTCTGAAGGTCCTTCCTCCCGGCTTTCACGGCACCGAAATGATGTGGAGAAAACGAACAGGCCGGGTCACATAGCAAAGCCCGCCGTAAACTTTCTTTTTATTGAAACTCTGACCTAATTATGATCCTAATGACGATAGTCGCTTGACATTTCCACACGATTTCGCAACACGCTCTTTGTTGTGCTTATCGTCTGTGCACATGCTCACGTCAAATGGTTTTTGTTTAGTGCGTATGGCTTCAATTTTGCAGTGCTAATATATATATTTATGAATATGCGAAAAAAAAAGCTTTCGGAGAAGTTAAGTCGGCTGGAAGATACATCGAAGCTACGAGACTACACGGTGAGGCTTTATTACGCTCTTTCTGCAGTAGGGAGAGCATTGTCTTACGACTTCTTCTACTATTACCAGGGTTCTGTTCACACTCATCATCACAACCACATCTGTTATGTGATAATAACGAGTCGCGTGCGTCGTAGTGTTTCGCTGACACCGGTGCCCGTAACTACTAACGCGCGAAATAAGAAAAAAGAAATTAGTATTTTTAAAAATGTCCAGAACTTGAGGGAATTCAATAATGGGTTCTCTGCGTGCCAGCCCAGTGTTCTACCACTCAGCCGGGCCTTTGCTTGAAACTTCGTTCCAAACTTACCCTAAGCAGTCTCCGTCTGGAGAAAGCAATCGTTCATTACAAATAACAAAGCATTTGAGAACAACCAAGAAAACGCCACGCCCTGGCGGTCTAGTGGCTGAGGTACTCGGCTCTTTACCCACAGGTCGCGGGGTCGAATTCCGGCTGCGGAGCCTGCATTTTCGATGGAAGCAAAAATGCTGTAGGCTCTTGTGCTCGGATTTGGGTGAACGTCAAAGAACCCCACGAGGTCGAAATTTCCGGAGCCCTCCATCACAGCCTCTCTCATATTTACACGGTGGTTTTGGGACGTTAAATACCACATATCAGTCGTTCAGTCAATCAATGAACAACCAAAAAAACAACAAGGCGTCACACAATGCGAATTGCGTACCCAGTAAACCATCGAATGCTCCAACCAATTCCAAAAGCTCTAGGCAGAATTCTTCATTGTCGTCAGCCACAGCATAAAAAAATGCAACAACGTTTCTTACAAGTGTGTAGGGTATACCACGTTTCTCTGAAGAATGACAAATTATGGCATTCTTAACGCCTGTCTACTACACAAAAATTATGATTTACGGTGCATTAGTTAGCCTGAAAGTGTGGTTGTAGCAGTTACCTAAAGTGTGTTTTCAAAAGGCTGTGAAAGGCTGCTCTTGCGTCTTTCACTGTAACAGTGCTGCGCATCCAGTGCTGGTCTAGCGTTCTTTCTTTATTGGCAATTTATCGGCTGCTACCTACACGCCTGCGCAATCCATGCGTCAAGTGTAGAAGAGTTGTAATGAGAAATGTGTGCTATGAAAATGAACGAAACATCCGATTGTTACTCACACTGTGGAATTACTTACTTGTCAAAACATCCTACTGTGCAAAACTGTTCTTTTGAAAAATTGTATTGCATTGCCAACAGAGCAGTGCTTATTTTCAACCACAATACAATGAAGTTGATCAGCAAAAAAAAATGTCGAAAGGCGGTAGTCTTGTGTGTGGAGAAAGTGAACAAAACATTTGTTTGGTGTTCTGCGCAGCAAAATCGGTGAATATTATCCTGGAGGCACTGCGTTAGAGTGCCTCGAGCGTGCAGCGGAGGCGAACAAACGCATCAAGTCACGTCACACGTGAGACATGAGCGCTATCTGGCAGTTTTCTTGGAAAACGAAGCGCGTGGCTCTGAGACGGGTGCGCGCACCACCGTCTCGTTTTAGCAAAGCGTTGGAAACGCTCGCCTGTTCGTGCAAGCGTTGCATGTTCAGCGCAGCGTTATAAGCGCTACGGTCCTTAAAGTTACATATGTATGCTTTTTCTAGTAAAAGACGCACATGCATAATATATACGTGTTGTTGCGGCGCCCCAGACATGCGCAATAATTACTTTTTAATTGACAATCACACAAGCATGAACACTAGACCTTGAGCAGCGATGGTGGGCGCTGCGGATCAAGTAGGCCATTTCAAATACCCGATGTCATTAAGAGTGAACAAACAGACAATTTTATAGACAGACAGACCAAAAGTTTTGCGTTGAAGATCGCGAAAAAAGACTATCATCTTTAAAAATTGCCAGCCTTGCGTAGAAGACGCTGCAGAGTAAGAGCGAAAGCTTGAAGAGCGGCCTTTGAGAGCCTTTTCTACACCCTCATTGGGTAACTGCGGCAAGCCCACTGGCTTGATGCCCACTACGGCAATAATAAATTTTATCGTAGTGGGCAAAATTTAGTATTACCCGTAATAAATATTATTAAAAATTTGGAGTAGCATGCTGGCATTCACTATGCTATTTCTCGTCATTCTTACGAGAAGCATCGTATCCGCTAAACTATTACGATGATTTTGTGCCAACGATGAGGAAGTATGCCTGAAGTGGGTATGTCTCCAAAGGTAAAAGCTGAAGATAAATAAGCTTTCTTAATGGGGTGGAGCAGTGGACGGCCCTCTCGTTACGCTATTTCGCAATGTGCGACGACTGCTTGTTCTGTCGCTCTTTTAAAACGCTTTATAAGTCGTATTAACGCGATTACTTTCCGACATCAAGCCTCAGTAAGGCAAGTTTACCGACATGTCCCAAGCAACGGCGTGGCTCAGTAGTAGTTTACTGGGCTGGCACCCACCGTACCTCGGTTAGAGCGCCACAGTGTCATTGGTACTAGTTTTTTTTTATCTCGCGTGATGTGGTTACAGACACCGGCGGTGGCGGTGGTGGCGGCGGAAAACTATACGGCGCGGCGCGTGACCAGATTTGTGATCTCCTAACAGCTTTTGCTGTAAAACAGCAGGATGGCAGGAAACGCTCCACACTATTTAGTAAAATGTTCAGTTGTGTAAAATATTTAGGAATAAGCACCGATTCATTTTTTAAACAATTGAAACCTATTCTAAAAATACAAGCTATTCTCTACAAGAAACGTGGTGATACATTTGGCAATGGCAATTCTCTGCCATATTATCTAGCTCCTTCTATTATTGCCGCTGTTCTAGTGGCGTGACAATACAAATATTTTATTTTAAAACGTAGTAAAATCTAGTGAAGGAACACTTTTTCAAAAAAAAAATAAAAGTGCGTTTCAAGAAGATATATTGTGACATTTTTACAGAGCCACATGTTTAGCAAATACTTTTCTCAGGAGGTATATGGTCGCACAAATGTTTCAGGCAGCAGGAGGGTAAGAAGCAACATCCAATAACATGCATGGTTTGCTTACGTTTAGAACTTTGTTGTAGATATCTTGCAAATTACCCTGAAGTTCCTCAGGGATTTCAAGGTCTCCATAAGGCCCTGTTGTAGTGGGTATTTCAGGCTTCGGTGTACTTTTTTCATTGGCACCTGCACAGGGACTCGTTTGTTCAAACCATATGTTTCACTGAATTGAAGTGCATTGTACAAAAAAGCTGTGGGGACGAAAAATCTAATCAGGCACAGTGTAGCCAGATGCTATCGACCAAACAAGTGAATACTCATCACAAAATAAGGCTAAAGAAAGTGTAAACACATGGAATAGAAGAAGCGTAAGCACCTTGAAACAAATTTTAATTATGATTAAAATGTCCATTAAGCAAGAAAGGGAGTTAAAACGTAAGCTTATTGTTTTGCACACTGAAAGCAGTCGCCACTATAAGCAAAAGCATATAGCTACTCATTAACGTTGTCGCCAGGCTATTCTCTCCATTTTGTTGAAGTCACGTTTGCTATAGTACGATTACTGTTACTTCCAATTTGCCTCAACGTATGCTTAACTGAATGTTTAGATGATTTTCCCCAGCGTACATTTTAACATTGTACAATAGGCGTACGCACGGGGGCGGGTCAATGGCTGCTCTTCCGCAGTCAGCTGAAGGGGCGGTGAGAGGAAGACGTACATTGACTGTCCCATACATTGACGTGGTAGGACGAGGACTGGCACTGTGATGAACCTTCATCCCCTCTCCTGGGGACCTTGCACAGGCCTATGAACTCGAACAGCGATAAACGTGCTATTAGAGAACAACAAACGTGCACTATGAAATCTGATGATCAGTAAACAAACAATTATATGCCCCGGAAAAAAGCAAGCAAGCTGACGAAAAAAAACGCCACGTTCTAGTGAGAAATTGTACAAAAACAAAAAACTCGGTAGAAAAACAAGCACAAATTCGCTTATTAGTAGGTCACTTTGTAACTCTGGTTGGACGACGAAATAACTGCTTTCATGATTTCATGTTCTTTCGCCGTTACGAAGGTAAGTCACGATCATTCTGTGGCTGTTCATGGCATCTCCATAACACTTAGAATTACAAGACTCACTGCCGAGGACATAGTGCATTGGCTTCCGTAGCCGCTAATCCACCGGCCGTAATGACGAGACCAACAACGCTTTGACCGATCAATCACCGGCTACGTAGAATATGATTGTTTTGACAATTTTTCGCAGATAGAAGCACAATATAATTGTTTGTTCTTTTCTGGATCTATCAACTGCTCGATGGACATAGCTTTTTGTTGCAGATGTAAAAATGTGTGTCCATATTTTTTCGTGGTTAAGGGTGCACGTTACCAGTTTTTTCGCCAAATAGCGTGACGTGAAAACCCGCCAGTTGTGGCGTCGCCGTTGTGCCTACAATCTTCCCAGTGGACCTATTTTTATCATCAGATGCTAACATGGAACTTAAAAAAGAGTACGTCAAGCTTGCAGTTAGATTTCAAGTCACCCAGAGAAAAAGATCTCAGAGCTGATCAGAGTGTGAAAAATGGGAGATCAGCTTCACATACCTGCTTGCTTTATTGTTTTTTTACAGAAAAATAACCTAAATATTTTATCCCTTGACGCATTACCAACAGAATTAAGCACGATTGGTTATTCTAAATAGATATCGTAGATTTTATTGTGATTATTGTGCACCAATTGACGCTACTTCTGGGCGCACAAATAATGCATGAAATACAAGGCGATACCGGTCCTGGACAGTGTGGAAGCCTAGGGGTTAATTGCACCTTATCAAAATATTTCTCTGGCATATAATACTATCTGCATATGCCACTTACAAAATGTATACTTGAGGCTTCAGACATACTCATGACACCAGATTGCGGGCGATATCCAGTAAACTAGTTTTTGAAATCAGTGCGGAAAAATTTGCAAGAACTTGCTTAAAGCAAAGTTATCGCAAGGTCGACCGAGAACGGCAAAGGTTACACTTTATATTGCTTAGTTCTTTCAACATTATATATAGTGAAAGTCTGTGGGGTCTCGGCGAGGCGAACGAGCGCCTCGCCACGCCACGCTCTTGGAGTGAACGGACAAAGCAGACGCGGTCGGTACAAAGCACACAACACACATACATTTATTAACTAATTTAGACAACGATATCGTCCGCCGAATGATACATCAATTCTAATTAACACGCTACCATACAAACAACATAACGCAGTGACACACTAAACACACAATAACGTGATAAACACACACTAACACACCCAACACACCAACACATACCCAAGGCGGCGTCGCCAACGCCTGACTTTCCACGTGGGACCCCGGCGCGAAGCCCGCGGTGCCGAGCACCGGGGACCCGTGCTACAGACAACCGTTCGCGGCAGCCGCCACGCGCAGAAGAGGCTCGCTCAACTCTCGTCCACCACCAAGGCCTGCCTTCCGCCAGGGGCCACCGCCGGCGCTACCACTCTACCAACAGTGGTACTCAAAGCGAACACAACGCCATCTATCGCCCGGCGGTGGTCACCACCGAAACAAAGCCTTGGGGCGAGGGGGTGTCAGCTCCCCCACATTCCCCCAACCTTAAATCAAACCATATCCCGAAATCAAAAATTAGCTACACAAGCTTTAACAAAAAAAATGATATCGCACGACCATAATGTCCTTGCACCACGACACTGCTACACTGTCTGGCTAGACTTCACCTCAGTACCGGCCCCGCAACAGCAACGTTGCCATCGGCGCGACGATCCGTCGCTAGCGCCGACACGTCTTCCAGTTGCGACCAGCACTCGCGAGGGCGCCGGACTGCAGGCAGTTGTGCAGGTCCCAGGCATCTCCATCGCCCGACCTCACGACCACATTCCTGGCCAGCGACGCTGACAATGTGCAGGACAGCCGGCCGTGGATGACATCCCTCCCGCTGAATACATCAATAACAACAACAAAAAAAACTTGAAAGAAAACAATCGAGCAGGTCCTCGGGAAGGGAGCTTCGAGCTTTTCGTCCACGTGGTACGTTGGTCAGTACTGCTAGCTAATACATCGGTGGCGGCCGAGACGCCCATCAAAATAAAACAAAGATCACTTTTCCTAGCTCGTGCTCACAAGAAAAAAAAGTGAGGGAAGCAGAGCGCAACGCCACGATCCACCTAGTTGTGCCACGTGCGACAGGCGGCTGCGCAGAGCCTTAGGCCTAATGAGTCGCTTCGCAACAACCGGCATCCACCCAGCACCCAGCCTAGGCGCAGAAGAGGCAGCCGCGAGGAGACGTCCACTCTGTGAGGTGGCCCTATCGCTCGCCGCACACAGCAGCTTACCGAGCGATCGGCGTCCACCGCCCCGGGCGGTGTCACGACGCCCCGGCGCCGAGCCGCAATACAAGTCAGCAACGACGCCCGGCTCCCTGAGCCCCAAGAGATAGAAGAAGCTATTTACAGAAAATCGGACCACCCACGAGGCTTCCGTACTCACTCGCTTCGGGCCTGGCCTACAAACCACGTGCTCTAGTCCTTGCTCACCCCAGGATGCGGACCGCATGGCGCTCGTCCTAATTCAACAACGTTTTTGAAAACTAACAACTACAAAAAATAACAACACTTGCGAGCAAAAAAAAAAAAATAGAAAGTCAACCTGCCGACAAATTCAAACACGTTACAAAACCAATCTCCTCGCTTCTCAACAAAGAACACCACCGACGCTAGCAAAGAAGTCCCCCCTAGGCCTACTCTACTCCGGCTCTAACAAAATCCCTGTATTGAACCGCAAAAACTGTTGTCCGATACTCCAAGAGCTCCACGTTGGGCAGCCAGTGTGGGGTCTCGACGAGGCGAACGCGCGCACCGCCACGCCACGCTCTTGGAATGAACGGACACAGCAGACGCGGTCGGTACAAAGCACACAACATACATACATTTATTAACTAATTTAGACAACGATATCGTCCGCCGAATGATACATCAATTCTAATTAACACGCTACCATACAAACAACATAACGCAGTGACACACTAAACACACAATAACGTGATAAACACACACTAACACACCCAACACACCAACACATACCCAAGGCGGCGTCGCCAACGCCTGACTTTCCACGTGGGACCCCGGCGCGAAGCCCGCGGTGCCGAGCACCGGGGATCCGTGCTACAGACAACCGTTCGCGGCAGCCGCCACGCGCAGAAGAGGCTCGCTCAACTCTCGTCCACCACCAAGGCCTGCCATCCGCCAGGGGCCACCGCCGGCGCTACCACTCTACCAACAGTGGTACTCAAAGCGAACACAACGCCATCTATCGCCCGGCGGTGGTCACCACCGAAACAAAGCCTTGGGGCGAGGGGGTGTCAGCTCCCCCACAAGTCTCACGTCATTATTCGTCTAAGATGTCTCCCAACGGTAAAAACATTCATTTTTTTTGCTGTAGTGTACCCCTACTTCAATCGACACGCGGATCCTACAGCTTTGCTTCGAAATACGGAAAAGTCATTTAAGCTGCTTCAGAGAGCTGTGTAAGACATCTGTCTCATCTATTATGTAAGGGCTCATACTGAAATATTATATAAAACAGAAAGGCGGAAATTCTGGCTAAGGCCCCATTTGGACAAACTCACTTTCGAATCATCGCACTCACTCTGATTCAGATCAAAATGAGATCCAAAATCAATATAAATAACATGTTGGCGAACCCGAGTGAGTTCGATTGAGTAAGCCGATAGCGAATCTAAAACATAGTGAGTCCCAAGCACGATGTATTTATCGTAAGTGATCTACACCGTTTTCGACAGATTATAGCCCTACCAAATCAAATTTAGCGTTGCATCACAGTTACGCGTGCGTGCGCTCACCTTCACTACCTGTAATGTTGAACTAACATTTACGCTCACACAATTCAGCGCTGTGACGTTTATATGCCAGCGCACTGTTTATTGATGAGAGACCTGAGTCGCAAGCACTTTCTCCGTATGCTTTCTCTAAATGAAGTATTCCATGTGAATTGCGCACCTTTAGAAAATTGAAAGTAAGAGATTAGAGCCACAAGAAATTCGCATTTTAACTTACAATACGAAACGTGCAATATATCCAGCGTTTCGTCCGAGTTATTCGCGCTAAAGAGCATTCACAAAATGATGCAA